CTATAGGGAGGTAGATTTAGAAAACAATTTTGGCAGTTCCACAAACTTCTTTCTTGTGTTGATGTGACTTGCTTTAATTATTTCAATCCTCAGTTCCCATTCAGGAACTGTTCAACTCTGCTGGCGGGCTCCAGCATCTAAGGTCATTGCCTCTCTGACCTCTCCCCTCCTAAATAATACAAGTCTGTCATTTTGTCTCCTACTTAGACTCTGACCTCAACCTACAAGCTCCTTAATGTGACCCAACCAGGCCATTTTAAAGCTGGCTGGCTGTGTGTCCCACCTGGGACCAACTCAGAACTACTGCTGACAGCTTCTCTAGTGACTTTATCGAGTAACCTTATTTCACCATTTACCAACTGCCCTGACTCTGATGTTGCCATGACCCCCTTACCTTTTTCATATCACCCTCTTTGTCATGGCAAGCTGTTTCAAGGCATCTGGGACACAGTGTAGAAATGCTAAGTTTCTTAGAGTGTAATAAAACTATCATCCTTGATACCTCATCTCAACCCCAAAGCCCTACTGCTAATAATAATTCTTTGTGGCACTCTGGTCTGCCTGCTGGTTGGTTAGGAGTTTGCACAGTTGTGCTCCTCTTCTCCGAACTAGGTGTGATAAGTGAAAAGGAGCCCCTACCAGTCCCAGTCATGGACTCAATAGCTGCCCAGCAGAATAAGAGGGCAATTCAAATCTTGCCCCTCTTGGCTGTTGCAGGAATCACGGCAGCTGTTGGGACCAGGACAGCAGAGCTAGCCGCTTTGCTAACTTTGTATTATCAGCTTTCTTCCCAGTTCATCCAGGACCTTCAGCAAGTGGCTCAGACAATACTAACCCTCCAAGGACGGATCAACTCACTGGCAGCAGTAGTACTTCAAAACCGACGTAGATTGGATCTCCTCACAGCTAAAGAAAGTGGCCTTTGCATATTCCTCCAGGAGGAATGATGTTTTTATGTCAAAAGACAAAATCCAACTCCAGTCAGATTTACAAAAGCAAAGGGAACAGCTCCAGGCCTCTATCTCTTGGGCCTTCAAGAACCCCCTATGGAAATGGGTTCTGCCCTTCCTCACCCCTCTTGTTTTTGCTTTTGCTTTTTGCACTCTGCTTTATTAACTTCCTCTCTATATTACTCCAACAAGAAATGCAAAAATTCTCTAACCAAACCATTAGTCAGTTACTCTTACAGGATTATCAACCTCTGCCCACAGAACCAGATGACAATGAGCTCATCCACCAGATGGTGGAGATGAGCTATAGCCTGAGAATGACAATGCTCCTAATCAGCAGGAAGTAGCTTGAAGAGCAAAGGGCACCTCTATGTCCTCCCCCACCATCACCCCTTCCTAGCTCCTCACATTTTAATAAAACAAAAAGGAAGGAAGATTGGGATCTGTAAGCAGGCATCTCTATGGCCAGCCCCAAGGGACCTGATGAACGGGATATCAGGCAACTGTGAAGACATCTACAGACCACCTGAAAGCACCTATGTATGCTCTGGGTCACCTTATAACTCGCACCACCTCCAATCTCTCTCTCTCTCTCTCTCTCTCTCTCTCTTTCTCTCTCTCTCTCTCTTGCCCTGCCCAGAGACAGTCTCTGTGACCCTTCCTCCTTCCCTTAATAAACCTCCCATTTGGAACCAGTCATATGGCATGATTTGTGAACCCACCTTGTAACTTTGCTACACAATCCTAACAATGAGGGAGGGGGCTAGAGCAGTGATACAAAGTGAATAAATGGTAACAAATTAAAAAAAAAATTAAAGCCATGCCTATCACTGTCATTGTGTTGATAAAACAAGAAGCACCTTCAAAATAAAAAAATAAAAACCCACAGACAAAACAGAGGCAACTCCTCAACTTATGACATGAAATCTGTCATAGATATAAATTATAATCCCATGCGTCAAACAATTATGAAAAGATCTAACAATTTTTAAAAGATAGTCATAAAACAGAAGGGGGATGTAATATCTCCCCAAAATAAATTAAATAATGATTTATTGATCTCAAAATTTTTAAATGAGATGAGTAGCACACCTGCTAAGTTACAATTAATTTTATATAAAAAAAACCTGCTGAATTAGATCAGCATATAAATGTCCTAATTCCAAAATGGAAGACAGGAAATGTGTTGTACTGGGGAGGAGAATATGCTCTTGTCACAACAGGAAACAAGAACTATGTCATTCACTTAAACTAATCGAAATCAGATATGACAGGGGGAGACCTTCTCAACAGCTAAGCTACAGACAGAAAGAAAGAAATCAAGAAGACTAAACAAAACAGGTAACATAATTTGGAAACAGCACTGAGACTGAGACATGAAAATGTATCTGGTCAGGACTTCAGCTATGCACAGCCATTAAATGTTTGGCAACAAAATTCCCCAGGATTTATCATGCTAGCCTTTAAATGGCAAAGATAAAAATGTGTCCTAGAGTTTGGTTCCTTACCTGCTTGAACAGAGAGCAGAGAATCAACTTTAAATGAACTGTCATCAGTGCACAGTCTATATGTGTATTAATACAAAAAATATATAATGCCTTTAATAGATAATATTTTTCAGAGCAAGAGAATCAGACACCAAAAAAGACAAGACAAGTAGCCTAGGTGATCCAGCCCCACAGATGGCCTCAATACCACTGTTTTCTCAAAATTTGCATCTGGGACAATTTCATCCAGCATCAAAGACTTCTCCAGTCAGGACTTCTGATAAGCCCTGAACTTGAGACTGAACAAAAATGTTTCAGCTAGTTTTTTTTAAGATTGGACAACATCCCAATTTTCTTGGGTCCATACAAAAAAAAAAAAAAAAAGTGTGCCAAATCAGCAGGAAGCACTTTAAGAAAACTATGCCTCATTTCCAAAAGGGAGTGGATGGTTTTTTTTATCATTCTGTAGGTAATAGATATTTGTTATTATTTTAAAGGGATTGGTTATAGGAATAGTAAGCAAAAGGGTAGACTATTAAATCTGCTTTGAGACCAAAGAGTATTAATAAGCCAAAAATCTTACGCTGGTATAATTCTTTCTATATTCATATAGTTTTAAGATTATATTTGGTTACAACATGCTAAGATATTGTAACTTTTAATTCTTAAAAATACAATGTTAAATTTCAATCCTTTTTAAAGCTGCTATTGCTGACTGTTAGGGTAATTAAGAAATGCATAGTCAAACAGTCAAACTCATGCTCATGTTAGATATTAGTTTAGTTAATTACAAAAATGTCTTTCCTAGATTGAGAGATGAAAATGCCTAAAAACAATTTAGATTAGATAAATAAATGGCCTTCAAAAACCTCAGAGATCTACAGAATATGGCATTTAAAGATTTTATTAAACTAGGACTTTTTTGGCAATGAGACAGGTCTGCTTCTGGCAGCACCCCTGTGCCATTTCAAAGAGCATCAAAGACTTCACATGTACCAGTCTAACCCCTGGATGAGAAAATGCCCTTCCATCAATTACAGACAAAAAAAAAACTGTCAAAACTGGACAAATAGAATGCAGGAGAGTTGACTGCTGAGCTTTGCCAGGACAAGGCAGGCAGTCCTTTATACTTCCTGCTTCACAGAAAAGTCTGTCAAATATTCTGGACTAGAAAGCTAAAGATGATGCTCCGATGTTATAGAAAATTTTGGGGAACTGTCCAGGGAGCCAAATATCTCTGTCATTTCTACACTTTTGGAAGCTACACTTCATACATATTAGGTAATATTTACTTCTTAAGTCTCTCAAGGGATTTAAGAATAGATACTAAAGTCTCACAGTTAAACTTAAATTGTGTAGGATGACAAAAGGTGAGAGATAGTAGAATATTTTATCCAAGGGTGCTAAAAATATACAAATGTCAACCTTACCTAATATTTTCATAATTGTTATTATTACATATTTTGTTATTATAAGAGAAAGAGGCTTTTATTAGACTAAAAGGGGCATATGTAGGCATAAAATTATTGTGTAATTCAAATGCTAATTTCTGTATCCCCATATCTGGTTGCAAGCCTTGTTCTGAGAATCTCCTGTCTTAATGTTGTTTAAACTCAGTTCCCCAATGGTCCCCTGATAAGTCAATAAAACAGCTTACAGCCAATCACTGAGCAGGGGAGATAATATAGCTCGATTTCCTACCACCAGTAGGAAGAGTTAAAGGAGAGAAAGTGGTGGGTTCAGAAAAGGAATTCAGCCACAGGCAGAGGTCCAGAAACATCAGGAGGAAGGTGCTGGAGCCTGGGAAAGCCACAAAGTGCAAGTATTGCTGGAATGCACACTGGGAGGAAGCCAAATTAGCTTAGAGGGTTAATATCTACTCAGAGTAATATCTACTCAGTTATTGTGTTGTGAAGCTTATTAGTAAATAAATATGAGTCCCAATTATTTATCCGATAGCCAGATTAAGAAAGAAACATGTATAAAAATAACTGTAACAAGCACCCAATGAATCTTTACAATGTTTAAAGTTTCTGGGACTACACATATCCAAACCCCACTGCTTTTTTTTAACCCTCCAGTCCTCACATCCACCATCAGAATTCAATTCCACGTCACTGTCTCAACGTTATCTCATTTGATGACTACTATGACTACTATCCTCTAATGTATCCTCTTGTTATTCTAAACTGGTGTTTCCTCAATGCCTAGCTCAACTGCAAAGAATTTCTAGAGTCTTTTTAAAGAAAAGCCTGTGTTCCCTAAGTTGTTACACCTGTATTCCTGAAGGTTCATTTACATGTAATGACGTTACATCAATCTTAAGTGGCTATGTGTTTTTATTTGCCTCAAAGTAAAAAACTAGCCTAGAACATGGTAAACATAAATTTTCCAAGTCTAACAATACCAAGATATTCTATGTATGATTTGCCTAAGAAATTGGTTCCACAACAATGAATATGTATAGAAGAAACACTAGTTTGAAAATCCCACTTTCACCAAACCAAAAAAGAAAGCTGAGTCAAAGCACCCACATAAAGTAGTAAGTCAGGGTCACCTGTACCTTTTCCATTTTAATCAGGAAATGGTCAATAAAGTCCTGAGGGCTACTGAGGTTCAGAGATTCTTGATGCCTTTTTATTTCCCTCAATATGAATGCTTTAATTTCAGTCAGAATCTTCAAGTATTCATTATGGCTTCCTGGGAGATGGCATAAAGCAGGGTAGGCACTGCACAGCTGGAAGATAAGCAAACTTGCATTAGTGCAGTCAGCAAACCTTCCAGGCCATACTTGGCCCTTCAGCACTTCATAAAGGTGAGCTCCACGTGCCTCCTGTGCTCCTGCATGCCTGGCATTCGGAGAAGCAGGCACAGCGTGGATCAGCTGATCGAAACTGCCACCTTCACAGCTTGTGCAGCAACCCCAGATCATGTTCAGTTCCTGACAACAGATCTCCAAAGGGGTGTGCGGGCTAATCCCACCGTTCCCTCTGTCCTACTGAGAACACTGAGATGCAGAATTACTAGTCAGAAATTCTGAGACAACAAACTAGTGATAGCAGGGGTAGAAGCAGTCTTTACCCCAGTTGACCCTGCACATAATTCAGCAGATTAAAAAAAAATGGTAATACTAATAGACATGCTAAAGTGGAAGAGGGAATCTCATGAGATCCCACTCCTGGGTAAGCAAGGACTACACAGAGAGGGAGAATAAGTTTTCTCTGGAGATTCTCCTGATTGGTTTTCTAGTACCACGTGATTAGCCCTGAAATCATGTACATAAAAGCAACACTAAACAGACTAAGCAGGCTTTAATAATACACTGATGTGTTCATTTATATGTAACAACATTTAAAGAAAAAGACACCTTGAATTTGAATGTAAGTTTATGAGAGGAACTGGATGGAAACGGGAAAAAGAAAAAGATGTGATTATAATCTCCTGTTAGTGTGTGTTTGTTTGTGTGTGTACACATAATTTTTAAAGTTTACCCAGTAGCCAGCTGTTTAAAATCTGTAGTTTTCCTTTAATTTGGGAAAAAGTTATGAAGTAAAGATATTATATACTCAACTTCTATCTTATTATAAATGAGAGTAAAATATTAATTAAACTCTTCTAATGAAATTAAGCAAGGAAGAACTGCTTTGGAGGAGGTGCTCATATAGCTAGGATCCAATTTATTGCTCCAGTACTGAATGGGATAAACTATTTGCTCTCCACTGCCCTTGTTTTGTGGAACACATATTGCCCTTAGAATGTATAGAACCATGTCTTGTTCGTGGTTGTACAGCATAGCTTAGAAACATTTTCTGCCCTTGTACCATAGTAAGAAATGCATTCTGTAACCTGAAGTTCTATGCCCAAATATTGGGCAAAATCAGAAAAGGGGTTTTGTTGCTTTCCAAAAGAAATGCTTTGATAAATTTGAAGCTCTCTGATACTATATATTTCTTCCTATTCTACTTCATATCATCCTTTTCTCATACATTTTAAATAGAGCTGAAAGTTCACAAGTTGGTTAGGAATAATAAGTAAGAATGAGCAATTAAACTAGAAATTTTGTAAAAAAGGAAATTTAAAATCATTTAAACCGTCTTCACATACTTTTGGTGGGCTTTTTCTTTGCAGCTTTCTTCTTGTTTGTTTGTAAATGTTTGTGACAGGGTATCGATAAGCAGCCCGGTTAGCCCCAAGCTTACTGTGTAACCCAGACTACATCACTATCCCCAGAAATTACTGCTCTCTAAAAAACACTAAACTAATGTTCAACCTGGAGAGGTGGTTCAGAAGTTTAGAACATGTGCTGCTGATACAGACACCCCAAACTCAGTTCACAGCACTCATGTCATGCAGCCCACAAGGATCTGTAAATCCAGTTCCAGGAAATCCAGCACATTTTTCTGGTCTTGAAGGGCACATGCGCTCACATGTCCGAATACTCACAGACAGACATGCGGGTGCACATAATTTGAAATATAATAAAATCTTTTTATAAGGTACTAATAGTAAACAGACACATCTGTAATTTCAGCAGCTCAAGGAGCGAGACAAGAAAGATCACAAGTTCAAGGCTAGCCTGGGCTATATAGTAAAAATAATAATACAAAGAAATGTTGCAGGTTACCAAGCATACTGAAATATTAATCTTCCACTGGCTTTGTTATAAAATTCTTTGGTCAGAAAACCAAATATTTACTAATACTGGTATTTAAATGTAGAACTAACAGGTGCAAATATGTTAGGTTAACTACATACAAAAATCACCAAGAAGATGGAAATAAGTTTCATCCAAGTATATTCTAACAGAAAGAAAAAAAGCTAGGAAGAATGGAGAGAGGGAAGAAGGGACAAGGTGTGTGTGGGGGGAATCAAAGAGAAAAAGAAAGGATTCTTCCAGAAATGGGGGCAGTTAGAGGACAGAATTCACAAGTCAGCAGATGGCCTTCTCATTGCACTTACCACCCTATAACCATTCTTTTATATTCCCAAATTCACCCAAATGAGGGCCCATCATTGAAGTTGAAAACTACCCACATCTTCTCAGAATGGCAGCTCTTCAATAAACCTGCTATCTGACCCACAGAGCTCATAACTGAGTAATTACTTTTGAACAGTGTGAGTATAGACTAGGGTCAAAGAGTGTTTTCACATATAAATAGAACTGGACCTCACCTGGATCCAAGGAGATGCTAAAAGTTTAATACTCCTGTCAAAATGTTCCATGAAGTCTTTGAATAGCACATCATTGTAGTCAAAACGATGCTGGAAAATGACAGCAGAGATCACATTGCAGGGAACACAGGAGAGAAGAAAGCTAGGGTCACAAGGACACCCTAGAACAAAGGAATTTTGAAGTTAATATACAATCCTCATCTTACATTTTCAAATTAAAACAAGAGTGTGAGCTACCTAAGGAAGAATCATCACTGTGACCTCCACAGGCCTGAGAGACACCTTATTTGGTGTCCCCCAAATAAATTATGTACTGTGCTTCATCTCATTTGTAGTCTACAAATATTCTCTTATTTTTCACCAGGCTCCTAAAGTCCTCATTATAAAGAAGAAAAAGCATGAAGATAGATCATTTAAGAATATTTTTAAATGTGTGCAATTTAAATTTAAGTGTTGGACAGTTCCTCACTGTCTATACAAATCTTAATAATGTGTTTTATTAAATCCCAAACAGCCAATGTGTGTTAAGTAGTTTAAACTTTTGAATGAGATTTTCCCATTCTAGCAATCCCATGGTACATGTTACATTCACAGCTTATCTACTTTTATAGTGCCCTGGGCCATTCCATGAGAATAAGGGCTCCTCAGTTTCCCAGGGAATTATTGGAGTGCAAAAAGTGGGATTTGACACAAAGCAGAATGCACAGCACATAGGCTGAGATCTGCTAAAAGAAAGGAAATAAAACCTCTTCTTTTTGTGGGAATTCTTTGATAGCAAGTCAGAGCCTTCTGGTATTAGAGAAATGGAAAAAACAAATTTCTAATTGTCCTCTAAATACAAATCTCAGTTCTTTAAAATTAACCTCTAACTGTATCACAAATGTGTATCTTTACATGTCACAGAAGAAGCTTCTTTTTTCAGCATTTGGAGATTCACAGCTGATCAAAAGGCAAAAATAGGTGACTACAGGGTGCCAGACCCTAACTGGTACACCTGCAATGTAGCTTGTGTATCTAAGGCTCAGGAGAGATCACAGAAAAAGGAAGAGGAGAGAGTATAAGAGCCAGAGAACAAGTACACCTGCTGCTAGAAAACATCTTCTAGACATGACAGGGAAAATGCACCCATGAACTCTCAACAATGTGGTTGCCTGAATGAGAACAGTTTGATGACACCAATTGACATGGCAACTGGGACAAAAGAAATTCCATATATTCCAATCTCTGGATGAATTTGAATTTCCGTATTGATTTAGAGGTGGGTCTAGAGAGAGAAGTCCCTCGGTTGACTCAGTCTACAAGTATTCAATGGCTGTTGAGAAAGGGAGATTCATTCCTCTAAGGATCACCTCCCACAGAGGTTGCCCAATCCCAGGTAGTGAGCTCTGGACACATGGACACACAAGCAATGCATGTATGTGTGTATACATGTAACAACAACAATAAGAAAGAAAGGAACCTGAATTATGGTTGGGATTTGAAGTGATATAGACTAGGACTCATGCAATTAGTTCTCAAACAATATATTTTAAGTCCTACATACTTATAACTTCGAAGGCACAAATTCTCAAGTGCTATTTTCTACATAATCCAGCATGAAATAGAAACACCAGTAATTGAGGTGGGGGGTAAAAAGATAGGCTTGGGCTTAGAGAAGCTGCAGGAGAAGTCCCTCCAGTCCCCAGGGAGGCCTCTAGGAAGAGACAGAGCAGGCAGCTCCAAGGAGGAGAGGAAACTTTTGAAGGACCTGAGAGCAGAATCTTCAGGACTGCAAGTGGGAGCTGAGAGAGCGTACTAGAACCGCAGAGTCATGGCAGAGGCAAAAGAAAGTAGCTAAGGTGGATGAAGTATCCTTGTGATGAGAATTTCCATCCATGGCACCCCAAGCAGAATGGGAAACTTGTCAGAGACAAGTAGGGCAAGAGGAGCTTCCTGGGACAACAGGGTGGCTTTTGTAGTAAGAGTAGAGAAAGCAAGCAACTTTGGGTGACATTTATCCAGAAGAGATAGATGAGAGCAGGGAGGAAAAAAAGATAACATTTTTAGTAGAGATACCCAGAAAGGTGTGGCAGGCCAGAAATGAGGGATGTGAAAAGAGTGCCCAGATGGTGGCTCTAGCAGCTGGGGAAACACTTATGGCATAGACAAGGAATGGTTAGAGAACATGGACAAGAAAAGTACCTGAGAAGGTAGACTCTAGAATTTGGAGTTTATTTAGGATAATTAGACTAACAGCTTGGGCCAGAGAGGCTCGTTCCTCAAAAGGGAACTCACATATGCCAACCCCAGGTTTCAGCACCAGATGGATGAGGCAAAGAAATAAAAAGGGAAGTCACGACTGCTCCTAGGTGTGGAGGAGAAAATGGTTTATTGTAGATAAAATGGATACCATAGCCAGAAGAAGAGATATCTGGGAGACTCAGGAATGGACGTGACCTACAGCTGGCCCATACAAGTACACGAGGGAAAAGATAGGAAAGTAAAGGGCAGACAAAGGACAGGAAAGCAAAAACGGCTGCATTATTTAGAGAAGGGCAGCTAGGAGAAGGGCATTCCATCTCCTGTGCTGGAAAAAGTTTGGGGAAGGGGACGGGATATGCTATACCCAGTAACAGGTAGATATTGAAGGATGCTAGGAGAATCTACCAGCCAGATCTACTGTGATATATTAAGTACGAATCTCAGTTAGCCACAAAATACTATTCTAATAAGTTTAGAGAGATCTCAAAGATCTGCAATGACTTTCAGACACTACTCTTGTATGTACTAACGTCAAAGACTGCAATAAATGCATCAGCTAGAAGTACAGTGATTGAATAAACTACACTGCATCTAAGTCAACAGAATACTGTATTACTAAGCTACTGATATTCTGGAAGCCATCAAAAGTTAAACACATCAGGATAATCAACACAGTATATTGAAAATGAACTAAAAATCATACACAATGCACGCAATATGTTCTTTTCCATTTCTGCACATGTCTGATGCATAAGTTGGTAATGAATTGACCAGATAAACTTCATTGACACACTCACTTCATTTTCATAAATTATCCTCAGGTTAACCTGTTTATACAAATGCCGTCTGAAATAATTGCATTTTATGCAATACCAGAAAATTGGTAAGTATTCATTTAAAAAATCTAGAATATTTTGGTTTAAAACACAGTAATACATGACAGAAAATGAGATGATATTGTGCTAATGATGTTCTTTAAAAACATTTAGATACTAAAGTTCTAGAGCCCCACCTATTTTGTGACCTTGACCTTGTCCCCTCCTGTCTGCTCTCCGGCCCACTCTTGCTCCTCCTCCATGCCCCACACATGCATGTACACATGCATTCATGCACTGAGCTTCGTACTGAGGCAGCTCCATCGTTTCCTATTTTCCCATGTGAAAAATTGTACCTGACACATTAGACAATTTGGTCACCCTGTAACATTTCCTTAAAAGCTACCTGAAAACTTTCTTATTTTCAGAGTTAATACAACCAAGAAGTATATTTTCCTTCCAGTAAACATACTTAGTCCCTTTGCACCCTCCTCCTGCAGTTAGGTGTGGTCCTGTGGCTAAACAGAGCCTGCCAATGTAAGGCTGGTTTTTCTGTACTACTTCTATACCTAAGTTAAAGAGCATTCTCTTTTTCTGTACCTTTTTCTCTTTTCACCATCACAAGGAAACAAGAACCCTGAATAATACTGAAAGTTAGCTGGGCAAAAACTAGTCAGCTTGGGTCTTGGAAAGGCTGTCATTAAAGCTACTGCATTCCGTACTGTTGTGGTGAGAGCCGAGTAACTTTCAGTTAGACTTCTGACTCCATGACTGTTTATAAAAAAATATTTGTAATAAAAATTCATCTTCCCTCTCTGTTAATTATAGAAAGAGATACACACCATTGGTTTTTCTCAATGCTTCTACCAGACAAAGAACTTCCTCCTGAATTCGGTCTTCAGTAGTTTTCTTTCCCATTCCCATAGACCTTAAGACCATGAGGGAGAAACACCGTGTTTGTTTCCAGGTTTCCCCATTGCTGAAGACGATGCCTGTTCAGACAAAAAAAAAAAAAAAAAAAAAAAAAAATCTGTTACCACGGACTCTAGCTGAGACTGTTCATCTTAGAAAATAATTCTGACTCCTACTGAGGTACACACAACACAGCTGTGTCAGCCACACCCTGCCTGACACCTCTCTTAATGCCACCTAGTATTTCACCAAAAGGACTCTAGATTTTACACACTAAAGAACTTGCTTCTTCCATTAACTTCTCAAAACCTCAGAGTAACTCTGTAAATCTTTGGTCTCCTCCATTTTTTTAGACAAGGAGGTTGTCAGCAAAATGTTTCCTTTATGATCACAAAGATAATAAACTGTGTCGAGGCAAGGTCGGTGCTAGCTTTTCTACTTATGAATTTTAGAAATATTGTCAAGTGGTAATTCTAGAGAAAAATGAATACTGGAACATGACTGAGTGGTTAAATGGCTGCTAACTATCTTCAAGGTTTTGAGTGAAGACTGGGGGTAGGTGCAGAAACTTCAGCTTTGGAAAGGATCTCACAAATTATGTTCCTCAGGTAAGGGATATGTATATTAATGACACTTAGCTCCCTGTGGATTACAAAGCACTCTCTGCTTGCTTAAACTCTTACATGTACTCTGTGATCTTTGCATTTAGAAAGTTCAACATAAGTTCTCTAAATTCTAAAAATGGTCAAGGTCAAAGATAACCCCTCCCCAAAAAAATAAACTTTTCAAGCAAGTCTTAGAGAATAATACAGAGGAGCAGAAGATCCCTTGTCACTTATGCCAGCATTTCATTCTCCATCAGAAGATTGGACATCTTCTACATAGATGCTCCCAATTAACTGATATACATTTGGTTTCCAGCTATCACTGTTTCAACTTTTTGTGCTAGGAACAGGTGGAAAATAGCTACAATATCAGTATAAACAATAATATGAATATTGAATGGCCTTCTTTTCTTAGGTTATTGACATGTGCTATAATATGCCCACCTAATCTTGGACAGCACAGATCTCCTAATTAGCTGTGCAACCATGGCAGAAAACAACCCATACTCCGAAATGTACGGTCATGTTGTTTTGAAGGTTGACTATCACAACTACATTTTCAACTCAGACTAGTTTTACCTTACCTGGGCTTGCTGGGATGTCATCTCATTGTGACTAGAAAAACGTCTGCACTTAAATTTTAAAAGCATTTCTGATTGGTTTCCTAGGGAAAACTATTTCTTCCACTCAACGTTTCTCACTTGCCTGCAGTTCTTTGTGTAGTGTTGGCTTAATGGGCTTTTCCTCATCTACTTCGGCATGTCTATTGGTGCCAACCTTTTCCTCCTCATATGGTGGAAGCTGGGTTGGTGAGGATTATAGATATAGCTTCTAATATGTTTAGGAAACACATTCTTACAGCAAACTCCCTGATCCTGTGGTTCTACAATGTTTCCATCCACGCTACACAATGATCCCTCAGCTTTAGATGCTGGAATACTTTGTAGATGTTTACATTACATTACATTACATTACATTACATTACATTACATTACATTACATTACATTACATTACGATTAGCACACCAGTTGCCACTAAAATCTACTAATTCACATTAATAAAAACTTACACAAACACAAAGAGAATGAAGTCACATTTACAGGAAAATGAATGAAAGTGTAAATTATTATTTCCACTAAAAGAAGCCAGACTCTTAAAAGCAAATGCCACAGTGTTTTCTGTTATAGAGAACCGAGAAGTGTGTGTGTGTGCGTGTGTTTGGTTGTATGTGCGTTTATGTGTGTGTGCACGTGCACAGCATGTGTTTGGGTGTGATATGTATGTGAGCATGTATGTGTGCATCTGCTTCTATTGCTTGCTCTCTCTCTTTCTCTCTCTCTTTCTCTGTGTGTGTGTATGCGTGTGTGTGTGTGTGTGTGTGTGTGTGTGTGTGTGTGTGAGCAATGAAAGAGTAAAGCCCAGGAGAGAGGAAGAAGAGATCTAAGAGGAGGGATTAAAAAGAGAGGATAATATGTGAAAGCAGAGATGGGGCCACTAGGGAGGAGAAGGGAATCAGTAAGAGGGACAGGAACAGGAGAAGATGGTAGGAAGATGACAACAGCAAAGATGGCAAAAAAAAAAAATGACATAGGGAAACACTTTGCGTATGCTATCTTTAAATTGTTTTGAAATTTTACAAAATTATTCATGGACTTATAAGTACTTGCAGTTTCTCAAATTTATTGCTGGTAATAGCTTTGTTGCCATTTGTACAGTCCTGGATGAGCCTCAACAAAGAGCCATACCTAACCCTTGCTTGACTTGACTGAGGATAGCTGATTGCATTTTGCCAGAAAACTCATCTCCACGGTCAATCAGAGCTTCCTTCAGTGCTTCGTCTCCATACAGCAGCACAGTGGGCTTCATGCCCAGGTACACGGTGAACACAGGGCCATACTCTTTCGATAGCTGGAAAAGGAGCAGGGTGAACAGGGGCGGGAATATTTTTATTTGTACCAATGAAACGTTTTAATATTCACCCACTCATTGACTTTAAACCCTGTAGTTCAATAAGAAAGGACATGTAAACAGCCATTATCTTTATGCTCTTACCAACATTGCTATTAATATTCTTCCTTGCATAAATTTTACTTTTACCTTTTTCCTGTCAACCTGCATTTCCATCACATTTCTCTTCCAGACTGTTCTTAGAGTAAACAGTGTGTTTCTCTTCTTGAGGACAGGGCATTTCTCCCAGTCACCCCACTGTACACTAATAATCATCTCCCGCCCTCCGTTCTTCATACACTAAGGTCTCTGAGTTTTAACAGTACTGAGAACACGCAGATGAATATTATGCCTACTCTCCAGACTGTACCTTCTATATGTTTTTTTTTAAGTTTATTTATTATTTGTGCATCATTCTACCTGCATGTGTGCTTGTGTACCAGAAGAGGGCACCAGATCTCACTTTAGATGGCTATGAGCCACCATGTGGTTGCTGGGAATTGAACTCAGGACCTTCGGAAGAACAGCCAGTGCTCTCTTAACCTCTGAGCCAACTCTCCAGCCCTTCTATAAGGTTTTATGTGTTCCAATCGCCATTAAAAACAGCTGCATTCACAGAGCATGGTGCCTGATGCCAAAGAGCCATTCATTGCTGTTCAATGCAAACACAGCCAACTAACCTGTGAGGAACCACTGCAAATTAAAGAAATGGGTAGTAAAGCTCAAAGACATTGTAAAACTTTCTTTGAGTTAAATCCAAACCCCCAGCTCAGGAAGAAGGAACTGTGGGGCAGTGAGTGCTCTGGTGACTGGCTGTCTCAAAAACAACAAAAGATGGATTTCTGATCATTCCTTCAGGTTTCACAGAATGACAGCCATGTAAATCAGTGGTAGAGAAGACATTGACTCATTATCCAAAAGATTCCCACATGGCAGCTCACACCTGTCTGTAACTCCAGTTCCAGGAGATCTGATACCCTCTCACCAATGCACATAAAAAATAAAATTAAATAAATGATTAAAAAAAAACTCAACACTGTCAAACCAAAGAAAACCTGTGAATCTCTCTATATATTAAATTGAGCTCCAAAAAGTACACAGTATTTGGACTTTGAGTGTGACCTCTTTATCTTTAGTACACTTTGGTCTATTTAAACAAAACTGCCAGTTTCCTAACATTCCTCTTTTATGTGTTTGACATTTCGACACGACATTCCCTTTTTTTAGAGTGTCTTTTTATTCAGCCATCTTTCATGTAATACATCCTGACCACAGCCTCCCTTCTTTCCATGCCTCCCAGTCCTTCCCCCATCAGCTTTCCTCCAGCTCCACTGTTCATCCATTTCCCTTCAGAAAAGAACAGGCCTTCCAATGATATCGACCAAATATGGTAAAACAAGATGCAATAAGACTAGGCACTTATGTAAGAAGTGGGAAATAGTAAGAGCTGGAGGGGACAGGAACTCCACAAGGAGAGCAACAGAACAAGATAATTTGAACACAGGGAACTTCCCAGAAAATCATACTCCAACCAAGGACTATTCGTGGAGATGACCTGGACCCCCTGAACAGGTGTAGCCCATGGCAGTTCAGTGTCCAAGTGGGTTACATAGTAATGGGAAGAGGGACTGCCTCTGACATAATCTGATTGGCCTGCTCGTTGATCACTTCCCCCTGAGGGGGGAGCAGCCTTACAAGGCCACAGTAGAGGACAATGCAGCCACTTTTGATGAGAACTGATAGACTAAGATCAGAAAGGAGAGGAGAACCTCCCCTATCAGTGGACTTGGGGAGTGACATGCATGCAAAAAGGGGAGGGAGGGTGGGATCGGGAGGAGAGGAGGGTGGGGCTTATGGGGGGATACAAAATGAATAAAGTGTAATTAATTAAAAAAAAGAAGGTGTAGGAAATTAAAAAAATACCCTCAAAAAAAAAAAAAAAAGACTAGACACAAACCCTCGTATCAAGGCTGGGTGGGTCAAACAAGTAGGAGGAAAAGGGTCTCCAAAGTAGGAATTACTGTTCAGTCCCTTTGAACCACTATGAGCTGCGTTTAGTTGATTTTGGTGGGGGACCTTGTTCCCCTGGTATCCCTGACCCCACTGGCTCCTCCAATTTTTTCTCCATGTCTTCCTCAGAGTTCCCTGAGTTCTGCCTAATGTTTGTCTCAGTCTTTGCATCTACTAGGATCAATAGCCAGAGGAAGCATCTTTGATGATGATTGGGCTAGGCACTGATCTATGAATATAGCAAAATATCATTAGGGATCCATTCATTGATTTTTTTTTTTTTTTTTTGGCAAGTTGTGTTTGTTTCTACCCTGGGTCTCTGGGCCATCCAGCATCCAGTTCCTGGCCATGCGGGCAGTTTCAGGCAAGGGTTCCCATTCCTGGTGACAGTGAAGAGGGCGTCCATGGCACATGCAGCAGCAGAAGTTAGGTTGATATTCATGTTCTGTACTGCCACAGGAGACCATGCTGAGATCAGTAGCACAGGCTGACACCAGGAACCATGTGGATGTCTGTGGCCCATGCTGTTGCCAACAACAATCATGTGGATGCTCATGACCCAGGTTCCTGCTGACTGTAAAAGGCAACAAGGATACTTTTGCCATAGTATTGATGACTGCAGACTCACAGTTGAGACAGAGAGACATAGAAGGCTTCTGTGACGCCCAACCCTAGCCCCCCAAAAATACCAGCTAAGACAGGAAGCCACTGAAGAGAACTCTTTTAAAATGTGGTAAGAATGCTGAAGTGTAGCTTTCCAGAATTGATGATTTCTGGTAGGGGTGCATGTGGAGAAGGACTCTGTTTTCTTTAATGTGTTGGCCACCAGAACTATGCTTCAGTGAGTAATATATGGGCAACACAAACTAAACTTAACTTCTTTCTTTCTTTCTTTCTTTTCTTTATCTCTTTCTTTCTCTCTTTCTTTCCTTCTTTTTCTTCTTGTCCTCCTTCTCTTTCTCTTTTTGTCCTCTTTCTTTTTGCCCTTTCTCCTTCTCCTCCTCCATCTCCTGTTCCTTCTTCTTCTGTTTTAGGGTGGGAGGCTCCAAGTGTATGGGGACAGACCTGGGAGGACTTTAAAGTGAGGGTGCTCAGGGTTCATGAAATGGATTTCCCAAATATTCAATAAAAACATTATGAAAAAAAGATTGCAATCAATAACAGCCAAGTCAATATGTCTTCCCCAGAGCCCAGTCAGTCTACCATATCAGGGCCTGAATATTTCACTACTGCAAAGCACAAGGAAAAGACCTAAAAACCAACTAAATATAGATGATACAAGCCTTTAAAGATGAAATGCATAAATCTCTTTAAAGAAATGTAGGAAAACACAAACCATTGGGGGGGGATGAATAAATCCCTTAAAGAAACTCAGAAAAACCCAAGCTAACAATTAGAAATAAACCCCTTAAAGAAATTCAGGAAATGTGTGAATGAGGCAAAATATGCCCAGAGGCCCTGGCACAACTAAGATCAGCAAGTAAGTGGTAGAGAGATAGAAGAGAAAGAGAAGCTGAATTGTGTTTGCACGATGAAGGGAAGCAATACTGGAGATGTAAGGGTAGTGAGGAACAGTTTGATGTGAGTAGTCTATACTGCACACTTAGGTTAGGCCACAATAAGGCTCATGCTGCCACCCAGACCATATATGGATCCTTGGTCCTGCTGTAGTGGGGTTCTCTGTAGCTATTGATGTTTCAAGTTATCATCAAAGGCCATATGGATGTCCCTGGTCTCAGCTGCCCCCAGCAGCTGCTCAGAGATGGCCCCACCCCTCACCTGCTATATATGGCACTACAGAGAGCTGGCCATACCCTTTGCCAGAGCAGCATGGGAGAGTTGCACCCAGGACAGGAGAGCAAAAAAGCTGACCATGTCCCTCATCTACGTCAGCAGCCCATGGGAACGTAGCCCATGTCTTGCCTGGGCAGCACAGTAGAGTTGGCCCTGGTTCTGTAGGTACAAAAGAGCTAGTGGGCTGACTAGCTCTTTTAGTTCAGCTACCAAGATCCTGGGCTTTGAGTTGGCCCACCCCAATGTATTCCCCATATATGAACTGCTGGAGCACTTGAAGGGGTCATTTCTTGTAGAACCAAAGATACAGGATCTTTCTAACACAGGGCAGCAACAGGATATCTAAGGGAAGTCCCGGTTAAGGATCTAGTACTGATAGTATAACAAAACCCAGAGGTCTTGAATGAAACCAATAACATTGCAATAAACATTCACAAGTAAAGCTGTTTGGGCAAAAGGGTAAAGTGTCTGACACTGTAACACACCACAGCTTCCACGGCAATATATTTTTTGTTGTTATTGTTTTCATTGTGGGGTGAGGTTGCAAGGACAATTTGGGGTGATGAGGAAATCAGTGGGATTGTGGTGTACAATGTGAAATTCACAAAGATCGATAAAAAGTTTAAAAAAAAAGTAATCCAGGGAAACAGAAACTAACAACTGAAAAAAAAAAAAAAAAAAGAATGAATCCTCCAAAGGAAGAAGGCAACATAATCTCCCCCAAGTTTGTATACACTTGATCACTACAATTACCATGTCCTGTTCATCAAAGCTAGGAACTTCCTTAAAGCTTACCTCAACTTTGGAGCTGCATAGTATCTCTTCAATGGCCAGCTTTTCCAGCTCCTGTCCTGTGTTACCTCATTAGTCTTTGATGGGTTTTTGTGCATTTCAGTCTATCTCTAAATTGGGTACTCATTGTTAACGTGCTAAATATAAATCCTTCTAATTCTTAGAACACCCATTGTAGGGCTTTAAATAAGAATTTAAATATTCCAGAACACCCATTGTAGGGCTTTCATTGCTGCAGTGGCCAGCAGCACTGCCACAGCAGAAAGAGCCAGAGAGAGGTGGCCAGTGACTGTGACAGACTGGCCACTGCTACAACAGACACATGATCTGTCCTGGCAGCCCACTGCCTCAGTGGTGGCCCACAGCAGTGGCCGTGCCATGTTGGAGATGCTTCCCCCAAACTAGAGCAGGCTTCCCAAACAGTCCCAATGCCCCCAACCTGTGGTGACCCACTGCTGCTGCTCCCAGCTGTGTAGACACACCACACACACACACACACACACACACACACACACACACACACACCTCAAGACCTTTGTCTAGCCCTTGAGCAGCGGATCACTCAAGCTTAAAGTGGCACACTGCCAGACTCTCCTTCCTGCCTCAGGGCAGTCAGTTTCTTCTTCATGATGTGCGGTTGTGGAAACAGGAGACAAAATGGTGGTTCTTGGCAGCTGCTCAGTGGGAGCTGTCCGTGGTGACTGTTCCTGCCTCAGCCTACTGGTATGGAACTGGTACCTTTTCTGCCTCAGAATGCCTACTTCCACTGTCCGTAATAATGACAACCTTCCCCAATTCAGCCTAGTGCCTTCACAGTGGACTCTGTAAATTTTGGACTCTTTGTATACTTTATAACCCCTCAAGGCAGAAAAGTGGCCAGACCTCTGCCTGAGGAAGCTCCAGCAGCCCAGCTCCTCTCCCCAGCCCTGTGTGACTGCCATCTCCAGCCCTTCAACAGGATTCATCCCAGATTATGCTGATTTGTGGTGAAAAGTCTAGACAAAAGCCCATCAATCCCTGAGCAAAAAAAAGAGACCAACCCCTGAGCATGAGAACCTACCAATCCCTGAACTGGAAAGCCCACCAATCCCTGAACTCCCCAAGCTCTGGACATGAAATTCCACCAATCCACGCTCTGGAAATCCCTGCCCTAGAAAGCTCCACCCCCCCTAAAAAAATCTATATAAAAGCTGTTTCTGCCCAGTTCCCTGCTATCTCTTTCTGGGACCAGAGGCAGCTACTCCTGGATTCCTCTCCTATATTTGTCCTCCAATAAATCTCTTTTAAGGGATTTACAACCTGCTGTGACTCTCTCCTTGGAAGAAGAAACAAAGAAAAGAATAAAGAAGCAAAAAAAAATGATCAGAGCTCAGGCTCCAAAACTCTCAGCTTATTAGGGGTTGGAACAATCCTCCCCTGGGAGCTATATTAGCTGGAGAAGCAGTGGAGCTCAGGCTCTGTACCTCCTCAGCTCAGATGTTGGGGTTACCCTCTTCTGGGAGCTGCAACAGCTGGAGAAGGAGCAGATTTCAGCGTTCAAAGCCCCTCAGTTCATCAGGGGTTGGAGTAATCCTCCTTTGGAAGCTGCAACAGCTGAAGAAGAAGCAGAGCTTAGGCTCCATAGTTCCTCAGCTCTTCAGGGGTTGGGGTAACCTTCCCCTGGGAGCTGCATCAGCTGGAGAAGGAAGTGAGCTCAGGCTCCTAAGCTACTCAGCTCCTCAGGAGTTGGGGTAACCCTCACCTGAGAGCTACATCAGCTAGAGAGAGGAGTGGAGCTCAGGATTCACAGCTCCCCAGATCATCAGGGATGAGCTTCCCCTGCGAGCTGTAATGTCTCTGTTGGAGGAGGCCTCCTCTCAGAGCTGAGTGATTTCTGGGCTCCCCTACTTGGGCAATCTTAGGACCCTGTTCCACTCCATTGTGGTTACTGGGCTCCCACGCCTCAGGATACACTTGGGATACTGCCCTACCCAGACCTATGAGGTTCTTGGGCTCCCATGTCTCAGAATACCCTTGGGACATTGTCCCACCTCAAAGCTGAGATACCGTCCCAGCCCTCGGAATTGTAAGTTCCTTGGATACCTTTCCACACAATCAGGAATGCAGGCCCCAAGCAACAAACAACAAACCCCAGTGTGGTTTATTTCTCTATCAATAATAATTGATCAAATGACCCAGAGCCTCATCTGCCTGACAATCTGATGAAAGCATCTACACAATGGAAGCTCCCTGCTCCTCTAGAGGCCAAGCCATCAACCCCAGGTAAGACCCACATACACACACACACACACACACACACACACACACACTTGCAAACTACTGGCACTCCCTCAGTGCCTGCCAGCCTGTAGCCAACCACCTCTACTTTCCTTGTCACCATATCCAGAACCACAACCCTGGTGGAAACCACCTGCCACACCAGCGATCACACCCAGATAGACTCATTATCAGTGGATTATGCCCACTTTCTTAGTGTTTGCCTAGCCCACCCTCATCACCATATCCTGGGCCCAAACTTCAGGAGAGGCACCCTGCTGGACACAGGACAAGCTGGGCCCGAGAACCACAGGTAGCCTACCTGCCCCAGCACTGTCTATACTTGGTGCCCACCCAGCCCACCCCCACTTCTTCTACCCCTCCACATCACCATATTCTGGATATTAACAACTAATATCTACTTATAAGTGAGTACATATCATGCTTGCATTTTTAAGTCTGGGTTGCCTTGCTAAGGATGATGATATTGAATATACTGAAATGTTTAAATAACTACCTATAGGCCCAAAAGTTAAGACAATGTGATATTTGAAAGAGTATATTGATTACCAAAACTGAATAAAAATTAAACATATATTTTAATTTTGTAAGTCAATTATTTAAAAAAAAGGTATGTGTTGCACCAGAGGATAACTAGTTTAGAAGAATAGTAGAAGTTGTGAAAAGTAAGTTGGTTTTGGTTTTGTTTGCTTCACTTTTTGCATGAGAAGAAGGTAAAATAAGATTTTTATCCTCAAACTGCAAACATGGGTAAAGAACATAGGGGAAGAGTTTCCTTCCTTCAGTGAAGCATGAAGCAGACCTGCTTTCTAAGAAGCCCCCAATCAGCCCACAAGCTCTGGTATAGTACGAAACCATAGCATCTCCTGGAATGTGATGACATTACTACTCTAGAGTCACATGTTGGCCTACATTTTCAAATCTGACTATAATGTAACTCAATCCTTAAACTGTTCAAACTAAAATAATAAATAACAGTGTCCTTTTTGTTTATGTGCTTCTACAGATTGTTATAAGTGTCAGACTAACAATCAAATTTGTAGCCTATTTATTCAATTCCCAGCCAACACACCAAAAATGTAAGACCTGGAGTCTCACTGCTCAGGACTGGACTGTGCCCTTCCCAGGAACTCTCACAGACCACAGCTCGATGCAAAAGCAAGAGGTTTTATTGCTATCTCAATAGAGTCGCCCCTCCAACAGCAGGAGACAACCCCAAACAAGCAAAGCACAGGGTTTTTATACCTGAAAATCAGGTCATTTTTGCTCTATAGTTTACAGCTGGTTGTAGATAGTTCACAGCTGGTTATTTCTCAGAACAGTTCACCCTGCCCTTCAAGAGCTCTCTGCACCTGGCTTCAATTCAAATAATCACAGTTGTTTCTCATTCCCAGGTGGTCCCTCAATTTAGGTTTGTAAAAGCAAGCCTAACCCCCTGGCAATGGGCAAAGAGACAACTTGAAGGTGGTTTTCCTCTAATATCAGTCAGGGGTACAGAAGGCAGCCCTTTGTTCATCATAGCTTGATGCCTGTCTTGGTGACCAAAGCTGTTTTATGCATAGGATATATAAAAATCAAATTCAGGCAGCATAAGGCTGGAAGAGGAAGACAGACAAAGACCTACATTCTGCTATTCCAAGCAGTGTGGATGGGGAAAGATGCCCACAGACCTGACCTCTAGTCCATGGCAAGGCCACGCCATCGACACACAGCAGCAGACATGACATACACAATACTGATGATTTTACATAAGTATTAGGGAACAAACTTTTTTTTCATGAACATTCACAAATAGAAAAATAGAATGCAATCACATTGTAATTTTTATACTGCTTGAAAGATTTTTTGAGATGTTTAAACTGCGGGAGAAAAAATAAAGTTATTGGAGCTTGTTGAAGCTTGCTTCAGTCACCGTGTGTGTGTGTGTGTGTGTGTGTGTGTGTATGTGTCTGTGTGTGTGTCTGTGTGTGTGTGTTTGTGTGTGTCTGTGTGTCTGTGTGATTCCCTTCCCTCAGCACAGAGAATCTCTTTGACAGCTGCAAGGCTCCCAGCTGCCAGCCACAAGCAGTTCTGGCCCAGAGAACCAAGTTGTGTACCCTCAGAGAATAGCCTGCTGAGTGATCAGTCCCTGAATCTACACTCTGTCTCAGTTTACCCTTGGGATGTCGAAGCTGGCCTTGAACACCCTGTCTATCCCATACTTAGTTTTAAAGCAGTCAGTCACCTCCTCTGCCTTGCCTACCACCTCACAGAGCAGCATGGGAGGAGGAAGAGAGACAGCGATCCCTGGACTGCCATGATCTGCTCTCTGGGCACACAGTACAAGCAGGCCATAGATACCCCCTTGTACTACCCCTCCCATTTATAGGGAGCTATCCTTATCTGGCCCTACCTGAAGGTCTTCCTTTCACCCTGGAGGTTGTGAATTAAATAATTATACCAGAGACCTCCTTATGAGGCTCTGACTCAAAGATACTCTTGGCACATCTGCCCCTGCACTGACTTGGAGACAAAATAATCAGAACAAGTGAACTTAAAAAGGTAAACAATATTGGATTGACTACAGAAGTTGGCAGCAGATCAAATTAAAAGTCTCTACCTACTACAGATGGACAAAGAATGGTGTGGATTTATGATAAAAGAGTAAATATTAAAATTTACCTTTCTTAGAAAAAGTAAACTCATACAGGGCTACTGTCGGGTCATATGACCAAGGAAGAAAAGAATAGCAAGATTAGATATATAACTAAATTCTACAAATATATAAAATATAAACATTATATTATGACAGAAGTTAGCAAATAACCACAGCAACTTTATCTTAAAGACTTTTATTGAGCCTAATGACAATTAGCACTCTGACTATTAAAAGTTGATAATGCACTGCTTGGGACATGACAATCTGCCTATGCTTGCTTGGATGTTTTCTTTTTGTCTAGTGTCCTTGAAACCACAAGAACTTTCAGTCTGAGACAGGCTGTCATGCTTTGGAAAATTATGCCCTTGAAACTGTAATACTGTTAAAAGTTAGGTTATGGGATTAATGAGGGAAATTGATTGTAAAATACAATTGTATTCTGACACGGTTTATCAATAATGACTAAACTTATGACCAAACAGAAGTTGATCTGGGACAAAAATGATATGATCTGTTTTGGAACAACATGCATCTTTCCCTGCCGACTAAATTCTGTATAAATAAAGAAGCACCCAGGCCGCCAGCCAGTAAGGATATAAAACTCCTCCTGATCCCTGTGCCTGACTGGTTCCTCCCTCAACACTCTTGCATCTACCCTTCCTCAGGCCCTGACCTCATCCAGGCTGGGCCCCGGCAACTGATGATTCCACAGCAACACCATCGCATGCTTTCTCCTTCTGCCACGTCTATCCCACACTTAGTCTTAAAGGCGTCAGTAACCACACTGGCCTCTTCACACAAACACACAAGTAATTATTAGAAGTTTCTTGGCATTTCTTCCGTTAGGGCAAATGACACATTTTGAAACTGAAGCAAGCTTTTTTTTTTTTTTTTTTTTTTTTTTTTTTTTGTCTTTTTAAAGACTTTTTCTGATGTGTATGGATTTTGCCTGCATGCATGCCTCTGTACCACATGCATGCAGTACCCATGAACAGTAGGGGGCATCAGACCCCTAGGAGTTAAAGGTGGTTATTAGCTTTCATAGAAGAGCAACAGGTGTTCTTAAACACCGAGCCATTTCTCCAGCCCCTGAAACTGAAAGTTCTCATCACTGTTAATCTATCTTCAAAACTCAGCTTCCTCTCCCTTTCATACAGCCTTTGATCCAATTCTAGCTAGGAAGATTTGGATTTTCACAATTTCAACAGTTGAGATTTAAACCTTCCAACCTAGTGATTTCCAAGATTTTGTGGTGTGAACCACATGACGACCACTGCTGCTTGACAAGTGTCTAGAATAGGAACATCACGGATCACAATTCTCCAGCATCCTTTTACTTTCATCTTCGATGATTTTCACAGTATGTTATGGCAGTTTCCTTATGCTTTTTTCCTTTGACACATTTTGTATAAGCTTTGGTAGAGAAATGTGAATGTATACAATGGCAACCTCCAAACAAAATAATTCTTTGAAAAATTTAAAAAAAAAAATCTCTGCCACCATGGAACCATATAGTGTGATAACTCTGCCTACTCTCACCCAAGAATTGCCATGTGCCCCTCTGTTCCCACCAAGAATAAAGAAGTCAAAGATTTATAAACTGAAAGATGGTTCTTAGGCACTTACGCCTGGTCCGAAGGATGAAAGCACACAACCGAGAGAAAACAGTGGGCCTAGACTGAGTCTGAGACCTTGGCATGTGAGGGCAAGAGTTCAGTTAATAAGTATAGAATAGTACCGACGATTAAGTTCTTCAGTAAGTGATTGACAGGGTGAGTGGAAAGATCTGATGTGCCCCACAAGGCGCAGATTCTGTTAAGAAGTTAGACTGGCTAGAACCCCCTGCCATACACAGGAGCATACATTGAAGGGATTAGGATGGCATGGCATAAGGAAAGAAGAGTAAGATATTAGGACCTTGCCTTTGGGGAGTATGTCAGAAGAACAGGCTCATATTGTAAGACTAAGGCACAGAGAAACGCAATTGGGAAACAACTCAATGCTTATTATGGCACACGGTACAAACACGGCCCCCTAAGAAATGAAAATTGCTCTTAGGGTTTGTTTCTCAGGACTCGGTGTCTGGCATCTCCTGACCACAAAAGCTGAGAGTGTGAAGGAGAAAATATAAAGGGCACCTGGTGGGGTTGCTGAACCTCCTCAGAGAACAATGAGGACTTAAATGCTTGCTGAACTTTCTGCTTTTCTTTAACTAAAAATACTGTAATAAAATTGCTTACCTCTTTCATTCTGGGTGTTAAAAAATAGGGATAAAATGGGTTAAAAAAAACAATCTGTGAAAAGATTCTTAGACTCGTAGAATCTTAGAAAGTCAGCTTTCAACATTTTCTGTAACTAAGCTACTATGCAAATGTAGAGTACACAAAGTTGTAGCCTTTTTCAATGGACACTCACAGTCCCGATTTACCCACCTGGATCAGATTGTGTCAGTCTCCTTCACTTGCCAACTTTACACCTCCTTTTCAGGACCTGAACCCCGCTAGAGCTAGACTCTGGTAATTTTGGATCCAAGATCTTGTATCTATCAGGATTTAAACATTGCAGAGTATTTGTCTCTCTAAATAAGGTTAGTCCTGGGTTCATTTGGTCAACCCACATGGCACCACTCATTTGTGAGGTTATCAGTGGGCAAGAAATGGTACCATGTGTGTCCTCACAGCCCTCTCATTAACACTTCTTTCAATACTTTGAACTTTTCAGACCTTTAATAGACAATGTATTCACCAGTGCTAACAACTCCAGGCACACTCAAACTTGGGTTGTTCCTCATCCCCAAAAGGCAGAGCATTCAGATTGTGTATACACCACTGGAAGCTCTGCACAATGGGAGGATTTGCCATTGCAGGACCAATCCAACTGTACCGCAAGCAGCCACCATTACAACATACTCCCAAATACCAAAGTAACTCATCTGCGAGTCAACTTTGGGCTGCTAAGGTCACAAGGAGTGATCTTCAGACACAGGAAAGAGCCAAGGAAGAGGCACGGATCCAGCAGGAGAAGGTGACAAAGGGCTCAGGCTAAAACTACTTTCACATATCCTTAGCCCTTCAATCTCATAAATAATTGATGTAGCAGATGCCTGGCCTCACTGATAAGATACCAGAATCCAGCATTCTGCCACTTGTATCTCAGTCAGGGTCTGTGTCTTCAATCACTGTGTGGAAGCATGCCAGAAGCTATCTTACAAAAAGTATGAAATTCTTTGACTAGCTCTGGTCAGGAACTCAAGTAAGCTATTTTTTTATTCTCCCACTGGTACCTTATCCTGAAAGTTCTAAGATCAGAGGGTATGTAAGAGCTTCTTCTACTGACCTCAGGAAGTTGTAGCACAGCCTGAACCTGCTTCAGCATACTTTCCCACACCAGGTCACATCCAAGCTGACAGTCTTGTGTCACACCAGTATGTTGATTTTGATAGAATGTTCCAAGGTGGGACTATTCTGTGCCTACTGCCCACTGAGGCCTTCCCTGTGATTAGATGCAATAATTACAAAATGCAATCATTTACCCTTTACTGATCCCCTCTTCATTTCTCAAAACATGTGTTCACATACTAAGAACTCAAGACCACCTGGATCAGCTGTGTGCAGAGACGCAAGATCTGGGTGCAACAGCTAGAACTGCTATAACTTCGTGGTAGAGTTCTCAGGAGTTCCCTGACATTTCACAGCACTTGTCTTGTTTTCCTATGGATCAGAATGGGAACGGAGATTAGTGAAAGAGCACTTGCCTAACAAGCACAAGGCCTGGGTTTGACCCCAGCCTTGCAAAATAAGTAAACACTGCAGACCCTGGAATTTTCTGAGTGATAACAAACAATTATGCCATTCCAAACCTATCCCCTTCCCTGAGATGTGAGAATACATTTATTTCTGTATTGCTTTGTGGGATGTGATCCTTACAGACTTG